TGGTTAATGGAATTATTATCCGATCCATGCCGATCGTATAATTAATGAAGAGGCCCGTCCTCCTAGGAGTTGGGTGGATCGATAAGATCGTCGATCCGGAACAGATACGTGATCCTCTAAGGGAACGGATACCGCTTCCTGGGAAAATCGTTAAATACGGGGAACAGCTGCTCTTTATATATTCGGTGAGCGGACATGGTTAATCCGTTTCGTCGAAGGGAGTAACGAATTGGATTTATGACTTGTCGAATAAAATGAAAGGGTAAAATGTGATTGGCGATGTGATGTCAAAATGATATTATGCATCAGGAAAATTATATTTTTTAGGAATATAAAAAATAAAATGAATTGATTAAATAGATATTTTTATGTAAAAGATAATGTTTAAAGGTAGTTCTGCGTATATTGTAGTATCTTTTTAAGGCAGAATAGAGCATATAAATATTTAAGCTGCTTCAAAATGTTTATTCTAATTGATTTTTCTTAAACTCATGTAACTTGTGACGTTAAAATTCGATCGAATATAATTATATCTTATAATTAAATTTTTCATTTTACCTCAAAACGTTAGAATTTTATATATTATATTTTAGATTTATAAAAAAATTCTAAACTTTAAAACCTCTACTTTATTATTCGATAGATTTTCAACTATATATATTTGAATGACACCTAAAGATATTCAAATGCAAATTTTTTGGTCATCCTTGAACGAAGCCTACAACTTTTTCGAAATTCTAGTATCTTTTCGATCATCATCAATTTTTCATCAAAAATTATTATTCTCGGCCTCGGTTAAGTTTCCCGAAACGGTAGACGAGGCGCAAAATGCACGAGACATGAATCTAACGGAAGCAAATCCTTGATATCGACAAAAATGGCGCAACGTTAAGAGAAGGGAGGAAGAGGAAGAGCATCCAGGTGCGAGAGACGCGCGATTCAAGTGGAATATAAGACGGCTACCGGTTCGCCGTTAGCGACTAGCGGTCGAACACGCGGAGAAAAACAAGAAAAGCGTGCCAGTAGTACGCTTGACGTTTTGTGACACGCATAGTATGCCCGTTCGTGGAATTACATAACACGGACGTCCACGTGCAACACGTCCGCCGTCCGAATCACAGGTAGAATCACGTTCAGCCGGGCTTTATTTGGTATGCCGGCCCGACATCCGGTAGCATCCGTCGACCAGCCCTCTATATTTTATACTCAACGCGAAACGAGGGCCGGCCTTTATGCAGGTGATCGCCTGATATAAAAACCACACGGACGAGAGAAAGTCTTGGCCGTGTGTTTTGAAGAGGGAAAAGACGAAGAATAAGAGTTCTTGACGCGTTTGATGGCTTCTGATGTTTCAGAATTTTCGATGGCGGTTTCAAATCGGATTAAAAAAAAAAAAAAAAAAATTGAAATATTCAATTTGCTTTTTATACGATACAACGCATTACTATAAAAAATAAGAATACCAAGCTTTTTTAAATTACAAAAGTAAGAAAGAAATTTATTCAGTGGGTTATTTCCACGACATATTTTATGCGGGTTATTACTTTACAGTGAATCGATAACATTTTTTTCATTATTGAATATTTATAGTAATATTACTATACACTATATATATATTATAATACGTTATTATAACAATATACTATAATAATATATATATGGTTTTGAAGAAAATGCTTTTCGTAAAATACTTTTTTCTATGTATCAAAAATACTGCAACAATTTTTTCTTTCTAGAGACGTGTAATTGATAGCGTTCTCTACTATTATTCAAATTTTACGATCGTATCACTTTTGTGGTCCGCGTGCAACCAGAAGTTATATGATCGTAAAATTTCAAACAACAGTAGAAGAACATTATCAGTTACATGGGCCATTAGCAAAATTGCTACAGTGTTGCCAACATCGAGAAACAAAAGAAAACATTCTCCCGCGGTATATAAAACGGTCTCCACTTCCAAGAATATATCAAACGAAAGAGTTAAAAAAAATATTTCATGCCGTTACAATCACACGTTATCCTATCCCACGTTAATCCTCACCTACGGTGAAACCAAATCCATTTGCAGATTCGCAAAAAACAAACGAACCATTGAACACGATATCGCGCGTGCAATTCGATCAGAATCACCCATCATGATCGCAATCTGGTCGCGGCATGGGCGCACGGCCAACAAATTGTCGGCGTTCACGGAACAGTTTTCAAAAATCAACGAACAAGATATCGTGACGGATCACAGCATTGTGTATCGATATCTGAGACACGCGATAAGCACCCTGGGTGGCCTCTAGTATTACCCTCCGTCTCGTGTGCTGGTACCGCGTCGCGAGGTCCTCGACCTCTCTTCGTTGCATCAGCTAATGAAAGATGGATGTTTAGCCATCGCAAGTTTACGTCAAATTCAGCCCTTCCCCCTTCCTATTTTTTTTTTATTGAAAGTAATTATGATAAAATAATGCTCGATTTATATTAGAAGTAATTGAAATTCATTATCTATATTCTTAATATTTGATAATATTTGGATGAGTGAAAATGATTATGGATCAAGTAAAATTGGAGGAAAATTATGTATCCTTTTAACGGGATGAATTTGCAAATTATTCAAATTGCGAGAAAAAATAAATAGAAACAATATTTTATTATTTGTTTTATTCGTTAATGTATAAAAATTTAAGCGTTAGAAAATTTGAAAAAGGATTGATTTATTTCAAAGAGGATAATTAATAACCAAACTTCTATGTTCGATTTGATCGCGTCAAAATTGTTTTAAAATCAAATATTCTTGTAATCGGTGAAAGATTTTTAATATTACATGACATAATCAAACGTTGATAAGGTAAAGTGTATTGGTCAACCTCTTCGCCATTCAGTCGTTTGCTTAATTACTGTGCGATAATCGACGAATTAATTGCTGGTAATTAATACTGGCTCGTTAGTATGCGATTAACGTCCCACGGTATCTCGCGTTTTTGCTGCCTTCGTTTTTGTTCTCTCCCCCTTTTCAACGACCATTTCCTCGAACTCGAAATTTCTCGGTTCTGGGATAATTAATTGGTGATTATCGATCATACGTATACATTATTAGTTTAATTTGTGAAGAATGATATATGATTTATCTGGAAAGTAAAATTAGTAGGGAAAATATCGATCTTGATTGATTGACCGTCGAGGAATGATATATTATAATGGAAGTAAGAAATACATTTTATTTATTTTATTTATATATTCTTGTATTCGTGAAATATAATAATATTGGTGGATGAAATCAAATAATTTAATTCTATTACTTTAAAAAATCCAATAATTTGATTTTAACAAAATTTAAATCACATTTGAATAAAATTTTCTTTATTTCGAACGAAATATCAATAAATTCGATAAATTATAATATGATTCAAACGTGTATAACATTAACAAGTGAATTAAAAAATATTATGTTTTTACATGCCATAGTAATCTCTTGTTTGGTTACACTATTTCAATTATCAAACATTCGTCGCATACTCATATCGTATGACGTGTTGTTATGCTCGAAATTCTACGTTCGTTCGTAGAATTCATTCACACTCGATCTCCTGTGTATCGTTCCAACGTGTTTAAGTTCATTCATCCCTACGTTATCAAGTACACAATACATGTGTATACAGAATAAATGTATTAACGATTTCAAATGTAAAAATATTAAGAAAAATATTATTCGATGTTATTATATAATAACATCTCTCTAATAACTCTTCTATTATATAAATGGATTCATATTATTTTGAAATAAAAGTATAATTTTCATTAATAAAAAATATAAGAATTATATTATAATAAATATATTTGCAAAAAAATTGCAATAATTATAAACTATCTTAGAGAAAGCTCTGGATGTCTATATTTTAACTATAATGTATTTCAAAAACAATTTGACAACAAAGAATGTCAATCATCTCATCTTAGAAGATTAATATATATTTTTTATATGAATTGTATATAATAATTAAATTATATTTATTAATTTACTTGCTTGTTATCGATAATTATCAATATACCAATTAGTTTAATTCATTCTTATCTTTATTTATAAGAAATTTCATATTATCTGTCAGTAGTCTTAACATCGAATAAAACATTTTGATCTAATTAAGAACTCTTTCGTCTTATCGAAAGAATTTCGAATCGAAGAAAGATTTCGAACTGGATGTTTTTTTCGTGGGTCAGGAAGTGATAAAAACACGATCGTAAGTGAGACAGAGGATAACATAGGATATTACGGACCTCACAGCAAGATTTTATGAGACCTATAAAAGGAGCATACCAGTGAGGACTTTAAACGATCGTTGTTTAGCTGCTTGGACGTTGTCCAATGGTTCTCTATATCATGCCAAGATAAATAACGTGGACAGGATGAACTATGGATGAAGCTTACGCTCTGAAACGAATGCATTGTGATAGTCTAATTCATTAATGTCCATGTAACAAGATTTGCGAAGGAACAATGTCGGAATGTATACTCCATGTGAAATATCGCGTTTAGTAAACTATGTGACTGAAAATCCTTGTAAAATCAAATAATGTTTGTGAAAAGATACATGAGCATATTAATTAAATAAGCAATTATGATTTGTCTCAAATTAATGTTAAAGGAAATCTTATTGTGAATTATTAGATTAACAAGTGAATTTGTCACCGAGAAGTCAAATTCTATTTCCAAGCCATTTTCAAAAAAGTTATTATATTAATATATTTCGGTTTTAATCATCAAAAATCGATTCTTCAAAATCCTACTAATATATCAATACTTGATATATAATTTTCCAAGAATCAAATGATTAGCTTTCATGGAGCTAATCAATTTGATTTGTATACAATCATTTTATTTGTTAAATGGAAGCTTATCAATTGTAAAAATTACCAACTCTTAGATTCTAGGGGTAACTAGGAATGGAGTAATTAAACTGTAACGAGTCTTATTTTACACGAGATATTTATCTGTACAATTCGTTCGATTCCAGGTACCGGATATAGGAGCTGAATTAACGGGTGGGTGTTACGGTTTCGCGGCGAAATATATGCACTGGCCCGAGGAGTTGCTCGTCGGTGGTGCTAAGCACAATAAGACTGGTCACTTGACCCGTGCAGCTGCGCTTCAAACCGTTGTGCAGCTGATGGGAGAGCGAGAGCTTTACGATTTCTTCCACCGCACGTACAAGGTACATCATATCGATTGGTCCCAGGAGAAGGCTGCCCAAGTGCTCAAGACCTGGCAACGGGCTTTCAGTAATCAAGTGAAGAAGCATCTGGACGCGAATGACTCGACGCCGTACAGTTTATACGCGTTCAGCACGACCACCATGAACGATATTCTTGGAAAGTATAGCGAGGTGTGCGTCACGAAAATCGCTATTGGATGCGCACTGATGGTCAGTACAAAGTTTAGAAACAAAATATAATAAAGTAGAAATATCAAGTCCTAGAATAATAATATTTCCTTTGAGAAATTTCAATTTATTCTTAAATATCTATCTCGAAGAAAATTGAAGAATAATTATATTAAATTTATTTTTATTTATACGTTTTAATTTTTGATAATTTCGTACTCTCTTTCTCTGTATAATATAAAAACAACCATTTCCTTTCAGATATTGTACGCAGGTATAGTCCTTCTTCGATGGAAGGATCCAGTGCGTTCCCAAGCTGGCGTCGGTATAGCCGGTGTGATGCTAATCTGCGCGACCGTGGCGGCAGGTTTGGGGTTCTGCGCCCTTCTAGGGATCCCCTTCAACGCGGCAACCACTCAGATCGTGCCCTTCCTAGCTCTGGGACTCGGTGTTCACGACATGTTCCTATTGACGCACACGTACGCCGAGCTTTCAGTGAACGAAGTACCTAGCGGAGAGCAGACAGGGGTAGTCTTGAAACGAACCGGCCTATCCGTACTTCTCGCAGGAATCAGCAACGTGTCAGCGTTCTTTGCCGCTGCGATAATCCCGATTCCCGCGCTCAGAGTGTTCTGTTTGCAAGCTGGTATATTGTTACTCTTCAACCTGGCCGCCATGCTGCTCGTTTTCCCGGCTATGGTCAGCCTGGACTTGAGAAGACGCCGTTCCGGTCGTTCAGACATACTTTGCTGCTGTTTGCCCTCGAACACAGGCAGGAACAAGTACGCCCATCGTGCCTGCAACGGCACGGCGAAACAAACGGTGACAAGGGCGATTCCACCCGAGCGTCGCGAGACTTGCACGCAAATTTTAACGTCGCAAAACGTGCAGAACGAATCCTGGGTTGGGGGAAACATCGAGGTGGATTTGGACAAACAGTGCAGCGAGGAGGACACTCTGACTGGGTGCAGCCAGGACGATTGCCTCAGCTTCTCTTTGACGCAACTGGCTGCAAGGCACTACGCCCCATTCGTTACCAGACCGGCGACCAAAGTGTTTGGAATGATGATTTTAGTCGCAGTGCTGGTTGGCAGCGTTTGGCAAGCTATAAGGGTGAACGATGGCCTAGAGTTAACCGATCTGGTTCCACGGAACTCCAATGAACACGCTTTCCTAGCTGCCCAAGCGAAGTATTTTGGATTCTACAACATGTATGCTGTTACTCAGAGGGAATTTGAGTATCCTAATAATCAAAGGTTGCTGTACGAATATCATGACGCCTTCATGAGGATAAAGAACGTGATCAAGAACGACAACGGTGGCCTGCCCGAGTTCTGGTTGAGTTTATTCAGAGACTGGTTGAAGGGATTGCAAAGTGCGTTCGACAAGGATTACAGCAATGGTTGTATTACGCAGGAAAGATGGTACAAGAACGCGAGTGACGATGCAATTCTGGCGTATAAATTGTTGGTACAAACTGGTCATGTAGACAATCCTATCGACAAGTCGTTAGTCACTCAAGTCAGGCTAGTCGATTCTGAGGGAATTATCAATCCACGTGCCTTTTATAATTATCTAAGCGCATGGGTATCGAACGACGTTTTGGCTTATGGTGCATCCCAGGCGAATTTAAGGCCGGAGCCCAGACAATGGATTTATACCAACGATCACGAGTTGAAAATTCCAAAGAGCATGCCTTTGACTTATGCACAAATGCCGTTTTATCTGCATAAACTTACGGATACACAGGAAATCACTGAATTGATCAGTAGTGTAAGAAAATTGTGCAAAAAATTCGAGGAACGAGGCCTACCGAATTTCCCTTCCGGTATACCATTCCTTTTTTGGGAACAATACATGGATTTAAGAAATTGTTTGGGCATTGCACTATTGGCTGCTTTAACCGCCAGCGTTGTTGTTGTTGGAATATTGTTGCTGAATTTTTGGGCAGCTTTATTAGTTGGTTCTTCTCTTGCTGCTGTGGTTCTACAACTCCTTGGAATTATGGGTCTTTGCGACATAAAATTGAGCGCTGTTCCTGCTGTCCTGTTGGTTGTTAGCGTTGGAATTGCCGTACACTTTACAGTACATATTTGTCTGGTCAGTATAAATGAAAACAATACATATATGATGTGAATCTTTTTTTATTATCTTCTGTAATCTTGCATTTGTTCTTACAGAGTTTTGTCACGAGCATTGGAAGCAGGGACAGAAGAGTCCGTTTAGCTCTGGAACACATGTCCGCACCTGTAATTCACGGGGCATTGACAATTTTATTGGCAGTCGTGATGTTGGCCTTTTCCGAGTTCGATTTCATCATCGTTCGATATTTTTTCTTAGTGTTGTTATGCCTCATTGGGATCGGTTTAGTGAATGGATTATTCTTTTTCCCTATCTTGTTGTCTTTCATTGGACCATCTCCAGAAGTGATACCCAATGATCATCCGGATCGTATTTCCACGCCGACTCCACCTGCCTCGCCAATCGTCAGAAGATCAAAGCCGCCTGCGCCTCCCAGAAGATCGTACAAAATTGATAACGCCAGGTTACACGCTGAACCTTCTCTCACAACTATCACCGAGGAACCAAATTCATGGCACAGTACGCAAGAATCTTGTATTATTGTTCAGCCAGAATTGAAAGTTGAAACGACGTCAACTTGTGGTAATCAGGTACGTTATGATTTATTAATAGTATATTTCCTCTTTCATTTGATATTTTTTTGTTATTATTTGAATTGAGAATGCTTTTGAACATTTACCATTTGCTTTCTATTTTTATAACCGCTTACATCTAAATTTTTTTTTTTTTTTTTTAATTATTTATACGCGATTTCACGTGAATGATGCCAATACTCTAAATCCACAAAGCATGATTAACGTGTGCGCTTTTGTTTTTGACTAACAGAACTGTAGCGGATCAGATACAAGTGGATCTAGTCGAATGTCACCAGTGACATCAACATCTCACATCACAACTAAGGTCACTGCGACGGCTAATATAAAAGTTGAAGTTCATACGCCGCTAACTAGTGAGTATTTATTGTAACGTTTGACTAAAAATTCCTTCTATACAATTATATTACTTATATACATCGAATTTTAATATAACTCATTGAAATATGATGTACAAAAATTGTATTTTTCTTTTTTTTACAATTTTTTACGAGATATTAATTTCAATGTAAAATTATTGTAGGTACAGTGGATCGTAGCGAAAAATGCAGGCACACGACTTCCAGTAGCCGAAGGAGCTCGCGCTGCAGTGCGAACGTTAATGGTGGGGAGTCTTCCGGTTCCGGTTCTGAACCGGATTCAGACTCTAATCCAAATAAACACTAATAATAAGTACCGGGACGACCGGCAGCTACTGCTCAAATACCATGCAAAGCGGGAACATACAGAAGGCTGACTAGGATAGATTTATAGTTCTTTTTCTTCTATCTCTTTTAGTAGAACGTATAATGATGTGCGGGTACCCAAAATTTAAATAATAATGGCTCTATTCGAGATAGGTTCGCGTAAAGTTTCTACTTAAACATGACATGTAACTAAATAAACATGACATCACAATTTTCTCAATCATTCGTAAATTAAATACATGAAAAAATTTCTTCATTGTTTTAATTTTAAGAAAATACTGCGGGCAAATTTCGAACAACGTGAAAAGCCAATAATTAAAGTTTACCAGGTACTCTCACATCGTTAATAACACAACGTGCTTATCTTCTTCGAAAAAAATAAAAGTATTATAACTCAGAAGTACTGAATCGATACGCACAGTGATACGTATATATAAATGTTCTCAAAGATGCATTTATATTTGTATCATACATTCAATGCGGGTCATATGTACGAATGTTTGTCACTTTATTTTAACGTATTGAATGTTTGATAATTTATTGAAATAAATAAAACAATATTTTTAATAAATCGACCACGTCAAAGAAAATGCTTTACTACGCTCTGTGGTATACGACAGTTTCCGTGAAACTATAAGGATATTATTTTACTAGAAAAATTTTAATGTCTGTTCCATAATTATTAATAACGATGATTAAAAAAAAAAGCAAGATTTTGAATATCTATAAAACTTTTTCTAATAATTTTTTCTAAACATTATAACAAATATAATATTTTTGGAAATGTTTATTCACCAGAAATACATATCAGAATGTTTTCTTTTTTAGAAGATACGATTAGTATTATACGCATAATATGTAATTTGAGATTTTTACGGACAATAAAACATAACTTTCTTTGAAATAAATAAATTAAACAATTATCAAATCTTGTACCTTTTTGGGTATGTAGATGTCCGAAAATTTGCAGATTACGTTTATGTAATAATGTTAAGTATAACTTCTAATTTAGAAGTAATTACGACGAGATGTAGCTCTTTTGCGACGTTTTTTGCAACGACTACAATGTGGTGCCTTGAAAAAGATTATAAAATTTCGAATAACTATTTATTTTGTACGCTAACATTTATATAGTGCAGTGTGTATATGACTTCGAGCGATATTAAATCTAAAATCTATTTATTATTTATTTTTACGTCCTCACTTTGATATCACGATTATTTAAAGCGATTCGTTTTGTACAATGTCTATTTCGTATGATAATTTGTAAAAATACTTCATTATTTATGTCGCCCTATATATTTTTATATAAAATCGTTACTTAATTTAATAAAATAAGTCAATTATCCGATTCGTACCTCTAATGTAAAAAAGTGTAATATATTATTCCACAGCTTATGTTTATGTTTCGTTAGGTGTTACAGAATTATGTACAATAAAAGAAGTATTTTTATGTGAAGTCATCTTGTAAACATACAGAATACAAATAAGGTATTTAATGAAAAAGATGTTTTATTGTAGATGTAGAATCTTTACTGTGCATAAAACATTTTCATAAAAAAAAAAAAAAAAAAAAAAAAATAGTCAATATACCTCCATTTTATATCCTAAATTCTATCACGAATTCCTAATTAAATACAAAGTCAAATATCTTGATTTTGCAATTCAATTGGAGGAACAATTAACTTACTATTGTTTTTAATATTATAGAAGCTAATTATTTTTATATATTACATGCAAAAACAGTTAATTGTATGACTTATAATCTTCAATTGTACATAAATATAATAATTTAAAATATAATTAATTACTATTTTTAATTCCTTTTTCCCTCATCCATTTTTCTATTATATTATATTCTTATATTTTAGCATTATTTTACAAGATTACAAATGATAACAAATCACGACAAATCTTCAATTATTTTTCATAGAATGTTTAAAAATTCTTTCTTATTAAAACTCTTTCATTGTCAATTTCATTTGTTTAATATTTTTATTGTCAGTATTTCTTGTCAAAATATTACATCACATATTAAAATATACTATATTTTGAAACTGTTTTAAAAATACACTGTACACTGCGAATATAATATTTATTTAGTAATAATAATATTATTAGTATTATTTATTTATTTATAATTATATTAAATATCACAAAACATTACAGTTTTAAAATATTAATCTTATACTTCTGATCATGCGCAAGTATAATAAAGAAAAGCAAATAATCAGAAAAAGATAGAAATAGAATAAAAATATGGGAATCAGCGCCATCTTTAGAGTGCCGCAAATGAAATTAACATAGACAAGGAGAAAAAATAATAAAAAAAGGATAGATATAAAATAAAAATTGACATTTAGCGCCATCTCAAGAATATCAAATATATTTCTTTTAAATAATCTTTTAAAAGAGCTTTAGAGATGGGGCCACTTTTTAATTTTTATTCTACTTTATCCTACTTTTAAAAAGGTACTATAAATATACACAAGATGATGCTGATAGTTAATTCCTATTTTATCTCTATCTTCATTCTCTGGCTATTTGCTCTTTCTATCTATATTAGTTTTATTTACGGCACTTTAAAGATGACGCTGATTTACTAAAATTTTTCCTTTCTAGATGTGTACACAAATTTACATTAATTAGTTTATCCTAAATAATCCAGAATTCCTTAGAATTAAGTAAACTGTTAAAAAATGATTAATGAAAATATAATAAATTTATAAGGTAAGTACAGGAAGGTAAGTATAAAAGGTAAGTATAACAGATAAGTATAAAAGATAAATATAAAAAATAAGCAAAAAGAAAATATCATAAATAATATAATAGTATTTTTCCCATTATTATTTTAACAATAAAAAAAAATTGATAAAATATTTGTTTTGGAATCACAAAAAGAGTACGTGCAAAATACTGCTAAATTACATTCTCTCACTATTATGTTAAAATTCGGTTAACAAATTTGGATTTTGAAAATTGAATTTTGCATTACGAAAACATAAGTTGATAGATAGTCGCACAAGAAATATTTCCAGGAATTTTAAAAAATTCTTGGAAATGACGTCAAATTCTCGGAATATTTAAAATTCTTGGAAACGACGTAAAATTCTAAGAATTTCTAAAATTCCTGGAAGTGATACCAAATTCTTGGAATTTTCTAAATAAGTCAAACGAATAAAATTTTTGTCCAAAAATTCGACTTTGTAT